AGTGTCTTTTTCCCCACTTGGAGCTGAACCCAGAAGGACATTTCTTTCAACAGTATCTTAAGCCTGTTTTCTGGAGTTGTTTGGCAACCCCTTTGCAAGGCATCTGCTGAGGCCTTGATTCATCAGTGGCACCAGGAAACCAACATTTTCGAAGGTTCCTGGAACCCACGATGCATCTGATCATCATTTGCGTCCCCAGGAATATGCATAGCCGTGGCTGCTTCATCGGGGTCACCATCAAACTCGTTTTAGTAGCAACTGGGTAGCAAAAAACAAACTGCCTAAAGTAGGCCTAATTGAATAATAATAGGGTCTTCAAATTATACACAGGTAGTCCCTTGACTTACATTTACGACTGTAGCGATGTCATTTATGATCAGAATTTGTGGCCTTCCCAGCCAGATTTTGACAAGCAAAGTCAATTGGACAAGCCACATTTAATTAACAATCGCATGATTCACTTCAGGACGCAGTTAAGATGGTCACAAAATCAGGTCTGATCATATGATGATGTCTTGCTTTACAACTGCACTGGCTTATGGTGGAAATTCGGGTTCCAACTGTAGTCGTACGTTGAGGACTACCTGTCAAGAGCCAGAAGTCCAGGTGGTTCAAATGACTATAAAGGTTTATTGCAAACTTAAGCTCTCTGCAAGAATCTGAATTACTAACAGCCAAAGCAAATTGGTGGTAGATAAGGAATTCAGGGTGGGCTGGACTTAGAGAATTGAGACTGATGATGTGTTTGACCCCTCCCTCAGGTTCAGGCTGGTCATCCCCTACAATACCTGTACTACTGGACTCAGCAATATCAAGGTAATTTAAAACATTTTAAAAAGCAAAAGATAATAAAAAAGAACCCTGCAAAACAGCACAGGAGAGAAGAACAGAGCAGGGGGGAAATAAATCCAGAAGGGAAGAGGAGAGGGAGGGAAGGAGGGAGGGAAGGAGGGAGGGAGGAAAGAAGGGAAGAGGAAGGGGGAAGAAAGGAGAGAAGAAAGTAAGAGAGGGGAGGGAGAGAATGAGGAAGAAAGGAAGGCTGCCCTGGTGCATTTGGACACAGGCCAACATGTATGAAAACAGTGTCCTACAAGCCAAGAGCCCACTGCGGTTTTAATCCGGATTTCGATTTAACTCAGATTTTAATTTTATCCAGATGCAGATTTGATCCAGAAAAGAAGGAGGGAGGGAGGGAGGGAAGGAGAGAGGGAAGAAAGAAATGAAGGGAAAGAGGGAGATGGGGAGAGAAGGAAGGAAAGTAGAGTGAAGAAACAAAGAGATAAGGAAGGAAGAAGGAAGGAAGGAAGGAAGGAAGGAAGGAAGGAAGGAAGGAAGGAAGGAAAGGAGGGAGGGAGGGACAGAAGAAGGAGAGAGAAGAAAGGAGAGAAGAAAGTGAGGGAGGAGGGGGTAAGGATAGAAGGAGAAAGAAGAAATTAAGGGAGGAAGAAATGGAGGAAGNCCCTCCAAGCCAAAAGATAGCTCAGCTGCATCATTGGATAACGGAAAAGACAAAAGGCTACTCACTCGGACGATGTAGGAGACTCCGGGGCCTAAAACTCGGTCGTCGGGATGCAGCCAACCTTGGACCGGTTTGCTGATGAAACTCCCTTTCCGGCTCCACTCCTCCCCAGGGGCTCGGGGCCCCGGGGCCCGAGGCGTCTTCCTGCTCTCGGACGTCCCTCCTTTCAGCCTGCTGCAGGGTGTGGCACAGACCGGTTCGCAAGCACTGAGGACGGCGGCCAGGCCTGACCCCGAGGCCGATGAAGGCACCGCGACGCCTTCGGCCTCTGCCAGGCTGCCGGTTTTGACCGATGAGGAGAGATCTTTGTTGGCACTGGACGGGCTGCGGCTGAGGAAGCCGGACGGGCTGGAGAATTTCCACTGGGGCATCTTTGGGAGGAGGGTGCAAAAAGTGGTGACCACCTCCTGTTCCTCCCCCAGGGGAGATGGGGGGTTCACGGGGGCAGCAGGGGGGGCTGGGGAAGAGAGCGGGGTGGCCGCAGTGACTTTGCTGCTCATGGCTGGCTTCTCAGAGGGCGTCAGCGAGTCCTTCCGAAAAGGATCATGCTTGGAATCTGTCCGCTTGCCCTGCTGTGGATGGTCTGGCTAAGTGGTTTTAGAGTGCTTAGATGACTCTTCTCCTCCGGCTCGCCTATCATCCCTGCCACAGCACATCAGTTCCCCCCCCCACTCCCCTCCCAAGCCTAGGAACAACCTCCCACCCCCACCCCCTTGGGAAGATCAGTTCACACCATGATGTCATGGCATTGTGGTTTCTACATTCCCCCTCACCACCCTGACCAACTGCTGCACACTCCGAGGGACGAGGGATGGACGGATGCCGAGATTTTTTTTCCTCCGCTGGGATGGCTCTGCCCATCTCCTTTGCAGAGATGGTGTAGAGAGTGGCTTGCGGGGGGGGGGGGGATATGTGAGAATGTGTAACAGGCAAGGAGAGGAAACATTATGAGGGAGGGAGGGAAGAAAGAAACTATGGATGGATGCTTGGATGAATAGATGGAAGCAGTGAACAAAGGAAAGAAGGAAAGGGGAGAGGGAGGGAGGGGGAAGTAGAGAGAGAGGGAAGGAGGAAGGGGGGGAAGGGGGGAGGGGGGGGGAAGTAGAGAGAGGGGGAAGGAGGAAGGGGGGGAAGGGGGGAGGGGGGGGGGAGGGAGGAAATAGGGAGAGCGGAAGGGAAG